GCAGTTATGAGCCTTTATTTGTCACTTGCAGTTGCCTGCAGCGAAATTGAACGTTTTCTGACCATACATACATTACACAAACATCACATCAGGGAGAACGGTCAGAAGAGGTTGCGTAAAGAAAAACAAGGAAATCCATCCATTGTGTCCTGGAGGAAACGTTCCTCCAGGACACGGTGGCGAGGTTTATTAAACTCCACCGAGACAGCTGGTGACGCAAATCTGAAGGCCAATTTCACAGCTGCTCACTTCCGGCCTACCCGGCCTTCGGAGGACTCGGCCCACATAGACTGCGAAGGCCGGGTCCTCAGGGGGATGCAGCCTCTGAATTTGGACACAGCTTATAACCCATGTCACTAAAATGTTACTCTGTAGCTGAATGTGTCTTAGTTTAAGTGAAATGAGATTATTTTGACTAGAAATAAGACAAATATATGTTTTAAGATTTTGAGTTTTTGCAGTGTAGACAGTTTTTTTGTACCCTAAATATTCTTTACCCATTCAGATGAAGACAATCTTAGAAACCTGAAGAAAAATCCAATGTGTTGAAGCATGTCTACTAACTATAAATGTGATACACCACCCAATTTGAACGTTCACAGAAATAACTGATTAACATGACCTATGAATATAAAACAATCTACAACTGGAACCAGCTTCAGAGTGATATATTTTTGAATGTATGGGTATTTCTGAAAATATTTAAATACATTCCCAAAAACTGTGTCTAAATTTCTAAAAACTTGACACAAAGTAAAAAACGTTAGAACTTTTTTGTTAAAATTTTACATCAAATAAAATTCAAAATCATGTTCTCTTTTCTAAAAACCGACATTCGTGCTCTGGTTGTATTGAAGTTCTGCCACCCTGTGGCAAAACTTTATGACTCACAAGAGAATCACGGCGCAATGTGTGTTTGTAAGAAAGACGATGTATTGTTTTGAAATATGTGTGTTAATGTCTTCATTTAATTTAATAAAATATAGGCAGTCTGTGAAACTATCATAAAAAAACTACCATGAAAAATCACTTTTTTGTAGTTTCATTAAAAAAGGTAACTTTTTATATATTCTATTTTGATTACTTTCTGTTTTTATTTTTTGTGTTTTTGGCTTATAGCTAAAGACAATCAAATAATTCTTATCTGGCTCTTACAATTGTAGTTGTGAAACTCTCATTAGTGATACAATGTACATTCAGATTACTACAGATGTGTGTCTTACAGACCATTATATAAAAACAGAACAAAACACTGTGACAAACATGATTTATCACAGTGATAGTCATTCAAAACATGACTATCAAATGTGATCATGTGAAACACGAATTCCAGAAAAGTTGGGACATTCTTTGAATTTTAACAAAATGTAAACTAAAAGACTTTCAAATCACATGACCTAATATTTTCTCTATAACAGAATGTAAATGACACAACAAATGATTAAACCATGAAATTTTACTTTTTTATACAATTTTATTTAATTTTTGTGCATAAAAAATTCTAAGTTTGAACATTCATGTGATTCATAATGTGATTTTCAAGTATTTTAGTTGCTCAAACTTTAAGAACGACGCATTTTTTCTGGAATTTAGGTTGCATGTTTTGGCTTGATATTATCCATACAAAAAAGTTTCATTAATAGTGATTTACAATTGACTAGTTTGTTTGGATGCATTCCAGATATGCTTCATTATGCTGGGATCATTCTGTCGTTCACAGCCTTAGATGAAACCAGAAGGTGAAATGTAAAAAGAATATTTTAGAAGTGACAAATTCTTCAACCACACGCTGTCCTTTAAATTCACCAGCAATGAATGCACTTGATAAATAACTGCACTGTTACAAAAAACATCGTAAAACAACGGTAATATTCCGGCAGCTGGGGCGCCAAAATACGACCGTGAAATAACAGAAAATAACTGTCCATAAAAATACGGTTATTTTCAGTAATGAAAATAGAGTTTGTTGCGCTAATTTGACATGGGATTCTGCCTTTTCCAAGTGCTTTTAGACATTAAATTAGGAACATTTTTACGCGATCAAACAATGAAATTACCTATAAACAAGGTCACTGAATGTGGAAATATGAATCATAATACGTAAATGTACAGAAATATACAGTTAACAGTTGGTTCGAATAATAATTGATTGGATGTCCAGGGACAGACTGACAGAGGCGAGGCTGCCATATCGCACCATCGGCCCCTTTGGCCATCACTAGTAGGCGGTAGATGGAGAGTCTTGACCACGGACACAACGACGGAGAGTGTCCGAGCCGGGCGCGAACCGGCAATCTTCTGATCACAAGGCGAGCTGCCAACTCTTGAGCCACGAACGACCTAACAAGCAATGATAATAATACTTATGTGATGAAACACAAGCTTATAGGGATCATTTTATATACTTTTCCATAGCATTACATTTGAATTCGATCTTTCAAATAACGGACAGATATTTGTGAGATCATGATACATTTGTATCATTTGTATTTTAACAATCTAAATATGCATATGTACAGACAGATACATTTTAATTCAATTTAATTATGTTGTATTACTGATAGGTTTTGTATTGTTGATTGTCATTTATGCTTAGAAACATTTACTCATATATGCTTAGAAGTGTATAATCATTTGTAGATTGAAAGAATGTTTTATCTTAAAGGAGGTCTGTATTAACTCTGTGTAGAAGGAAGTGCATTCATTCGTCTAGAGTGTATCCTTGGTATAAATCACATACTCCTAGGAGAGTTTCTTTGATTTATGGTATAGCAAGCATACGTATATCTGTTTAAGTATAAACACATACACAGGCAAGGTACTCTTTGTGTGAATGTAGACGTCATATGTTAATGAACTTATGCATATTCATGTAACCTCAATAAAAGAACAGTGGTACGGGAGAACGGACGAGAGCAACCGGGTCAGGCGAGGGAACGGCGCCTCTTCGGTCTCTCCCGTGCACGAGTAACATGAAGAACTTGCCTACTTTGTGTCTTGCTTTGCGGTGTAATTATATTGTCTTCAACGTTCCAGCGAATAGGTTTATGCTACAAACCTATCAATTACATTAGGCAAGGCAAGGCAAGTTTATTTGTATAGCACAATTCAACAACAAGGTGATTCAAAGTGCTTTACAGAGACATTAGAAACAAAAACAAATAAAAAGCATGATTTAAAATTGATTAAAACAAGCAAACAAAACAAACTAACTAATTAACAAACAAACAAACAAAACAGTATATAAAATCAAAACAGATAAAATCAGTAGTTAAAATGTAAGTTTTGAAATTTAAGCTTAAAAGTGTGGATTTGGTGCTTTATTCAAATGCTGCTGAGAACAGGTGAGTCTTCAACCTGGATTTAAATAAACTGAGTGTTTCAGCTGATCTGAGGCTTTCTGGGAGTTTGTTCCAGATATAAGGAGCATAAAAGCTGAATGCAGCTTCTCCGTGTCTGGTTCTGACTCTGGGAACTGATAAAAGACCGGATCCAGATGACCTGAGGGATCTGGATGGTTCATGCTGGGTCAGGAGGTCGCTGATGTATTTTGGTCCTAAACCATTCAGAGCTTTATAGGCCAGCATCAGAACTTTAAAGTCTATCCTCTGACGGACAGGCAGCCAGTGTAAGGACCTCAGAGCTGGACTGATGTGGTCCACTTTTTTGGTCTTAGTGAGGACTCGAGCAGCAGAGTTCTGAATGAGCTGTAGTTGTCTGACTGATTTTTTTAGGTTACAGTGATTACAGTGATTTAACGTTAATTTACATTCAAAATGTGAAGTCAAAGTCTATTTACGTAACTTTAATGATATTCTAGAAGAACAGAACATTACTGTAAAATGCACAGTAAAATACCTTCATATTGGGTTTTTTCCTACGGTCGCAGCGTTACCCGCGACCGTGTTGTTAGTTCACATTCATTGGCCGATGCTTAGCGTCATGTTATTTATATTAATTGCAATTCCTACCTCTACATTTCTTTTTCAAAATATATAATTAGCACAGTGTGTCCGTGCAATGTTTTACATTGTGGCATGCAGAGAAATCTTAACAACGAAGCTCACAGAGAGAGATTGAGCTTGTTGTTTAACCCCAAGCTGGTAGGGGGAGGTCTTTATTAAAACACTTGCTGTGCTACAATGTGCCTCAAGGTTCAACAACAGCACAACAGAAGTCACTCATGGTACAGCACTCTCTCTACAAAACAACAACTGTCAGTGACGCTGCACCACGGCGTAAACACAACATTCAAGATAATGAATAATGGCAGAAATGAACTTTCTCCAAAGGGTGGCGGGTCTCTAACTTAGAGATAGGTTGAAGAGTTCGGCCGTCCATGAATGGCTCAGAGTCGAGCCGCTACTCCTCCACATTATAAGGAACCAGTTGGGGTGGTTCCGGCATCTGACAAGGATGCCTCCTGGGTGAGGTATTGCAGGCATTTCCCATTATATGTTACAATGGGTAGGACTAGACATCACCTCAGATGTAATGTTGAAGAAAAAGAGGGGGGGGAAATGGTGACCAGGTACAAAAGTTTCATGCAGAAGAGATAAGCTGCATTTTCTTCTTTTTTCTATGTTTTACTTTAACATGATTTATCAGCAGCTCCATCACACAAATATTGATTTCAACATGATTTTTTTCACTCAGTTACATAATGTAGGAATGTGTTGATCAAAAATGTATTTTGATAAATATTTATATTTTTAACGAAGAATTAAAAATGATTTAATATTAGCAAAAGCACACATAAATAAACTCTTCTTCTGTATCACTTTACCCATGGAAAGACTAGTTATTATTTCCTTTTACCCTCAAACAATGTCCAAAAGGTAAAACAGAAATCCAAAACTGGAAGAACCAGTTTGAACCCACAGCTCTGTCACTGTCAAATGCCAGAGGCATGCCAGCTGTAAAGCTATAAAAGCACTGTGTTGAACAGAGGCTTTAACATTCATCTCTCTCACCTGCGCAGTGACAACAGTGAAGTTAAGATGGCTTCATTTCCACTATGTAAGATTTATAGTTAATCTTCATCAAATAAAAGTAGTGAATTGTGTTTGAGGTCCTGTGAAGTGAATTGTGAATTGTGAATTGTGTTTCAGGTCCTGATTTGAGCATTGTGATGATTGGGAAAACTGGTGTGGGTAAGAGCGCTGTTGGAAACACCATCCTGGGAAAAACAAATTTCAGCTCTTGTCCCTTACTGGGGTCAGTGACCGAGGTCTGTGAAAAAGGTGTGGCACAGATGGGTAACAGGTCAGTTAGTGTTGTAGACACACCAGGGATCATGGACGTTGCGAATTCAGATGAGTTCATCAAAAAAGAAATCAAGAAATGTGTTGAAGACTCCTCTCCCGGTCCTCATGTGTTCCTGTTGGTCTTCCAAGTGGGTCGATTCACTAAGGAGGAGAAAAACTCAGTGAAAGCCCTGCAGGAGCTGTTTGGCCCAGAGATAAACCAGCACATGATTGTGCTGTTCACCCGTGGCGGCGATCTTGAAGACATGACCATAGAGGAGTATGTAAATGAAGCTGATCTTGGACTTCAGCACATCATTGAAAGCTGTGGAAACAGGTTCCACGTCTTTGACAACACCAGCAGTGACAGAAAGCAGGTGGAGCAGCTGGTCAAGAAGATTGATGACATGGTGGCAGCAAATGGAGGCATACGCTACACAAACGCCATGTATAGACAGGTGGAGGAAGCACACAGTAAGGGATTGGCCGTGGATGAGTGTAAATTCACTGAGTCGCTGTTTCAGCGTATCAAAATGTTTCGTACTGTTCTTCATGGAGATTAAATTATTGTAATAAATAGTGATGAATCTAGTCTAAACAGGACAGTTTCTGTACCCATTTGTAAGTCTAGTCTGACACAGACTTACAGTGTAGACAGCTGTCTACATTATTTAACTTTATCTTTTGGTATTCAAGAGGAAAGCATTATAAAGTGAAATAATAATCATAGTACGAGCTTTTCTCTACTGCATCTGCTCCAATTTGTAGTGAGTTTGCAACCCTGATGGTTTGGTGTTAAATTTATTTTAAATAGTGTGTTTTATGCATATTTTCAGTCAATGACTTGTTTTTAAATGATGGCATGAAGTTTGAAATGTATTTTCTTTTCTTTGCCATTTTTGTCTGAAAATATTGTGAAAAGCATTTAATTTTGTCAATGATTGTTTATTGTTGCTTCAGTGTAATTCTTTTAAATGTTATATCTCAATAAATAATTTCAATGCATCGCTGTCATCATTTCTTTCTAATTCTAAAACACTGCTTTCTTTTTTTTTCTTTTTTCTTTTTTTTTGTCCCGTTTGGATCTATAGCCATCAGAATTGTTGTCTTGAGGCCAAGAAAGATGCCAAGCGGATTTATTTTACCAAGTGGATCATCATGGCCTTGCCATATTGGTCCATTTGATTGACCTTTATTATAATTATGAATTTATTTTATTTTCAGTTGCAAACGGGACGGACATAACTGTGGGATAGGACAGGGGGAAAGAATGAAAGAAAGAGGGGGAGAGAAAGAAAGAAAACCAAAGGGGAGAAGAGACGGTGAGAAGGGGGGAAGAGAGAAAAAAAAAAAAACAAACAAAAAAAAAAAAAAGGTATGGAGGAGATCAAAACTCCAGACATCCAGAGGCCCCAGAACACAAGAGACCAAGGAAGACCAACAGAGGGGCAGCTGCGCCACTGTCCCAGTAAGAGCTGAGGAGAGTCCCAGATGAGGGCTCACTCAGCAGCCGCGGAGCAGAAGCCAGGGGGAGTTGCAGTGACGCGCCCGTGAGCTCCGCCGGCAGCCAGCTGTGCCTGAGTGACCGAGCCCCAGGCCGAGAGGTCGGGGGCACCCCACCTCCGAAGTGGCCCGAGCGAGCCCCAGGCTCCAGGCCCCGATAAGCGGCCGCCAAGGAGTGAGCCGGTGTGTACCCGGACGCCCACCCCCAGACACAAAGAACCACCAACGCACCGACACCTGAGGGAGTCCGCCACTGGCGGGGGAAGTGGTGGTGGGTGGAGATAGGCCTCCAAACCTTGGAGGGCCTGAGATGTCCCCAGAGAGGTGGCGTCTGATACCCAACCTGACATATAGACACAGACATACAGGCACACACAGACACAAACATCCATTCCCACCCTCATGCTCTCATATGCACTTACTCCACACTCAACCAACGTGGAGACAGACATAAAGAGACGTTGTACACACGATCACACTCCCCAAGCATACTCTACGAACCGGGTCTAGGTACTCTTGCCCCTGGAGGGGGAACTGCACCCAGACCCTGGTGTTTCCAGTCTACAGAAACATGGCTATCAAAATTGCCCATGTATGTTTTTTTCTTAATGATGCTATTTTATGCATATGTATAAAAATATATGGAAATAAGCTGCCTTCTTCCTGTTTCGTGCAATGTGTTGGTTTTTTTGTGTGTCATATGTCATTTACTCAGTTATTACATTACTTACTAATATCGTCATGTACTGTATGTACAGTGAGTATAGTACTGGGGTTGTATTTATCAGAATGCAGACAAATAATGTTGGTCAGTAAACAGTAAAGCTGTATTTGGTTTCCTTACTTTTTAACTCAGACATGGGCCGAGTATGTGTTCCCAGTTTATTTGATGTATTTTTGAATCCCTTCAGTAGCCATTTTCAGAATAGAGTATTTTCTACAGTTTCCCAATAACTGAGAAATGTGAATGAAATTAAAGTTTTGGAACTAAAAATATGAAAATACCTAAAAGTCAGAGGTTAGGAAAATTAAAAAGATTCCCAACAACATCACACTGCATCTGGATCATAACAAAGTGAGCTCTTCCTTATGACTGCCCTCTACAGCAAGTCCAGGTGTAACTACAGACTTTATGTCAACCAGTCAGTTGCACATTAATAATGGAATAAAGTGAATTAATAAAAATGTTATTTACTATACACTGTTCCAAAAATAGTAATGTCAAATTATTTTACTGTGTAGTTTACAGTCGTGTACTGTTTTTCTAGAATATCATTACATTTACATAAGTAGACTGATCTGACACGTCAAATGTAAAATAACATAACATCACTGTAAATGTAATAAAAAACAATTTACTTGTTTTTAAATATACTTTTTTGTACATATGCATATTTAGATTGTAAAAATGCATCCAGAAATCAGAATCAGAATCAGAATAGGTTTATTGCCAGATGTTGAGGTTTACAACATTAGGAATTTGCTGCGGTGCTTCAGTGCAAACAATAAGAATTAAAGTGCTATGTAGAAAGAAAGATATGTGCATGAGATATATGCATGAGAATAAGAATTAAGAGTGCTACGTAGAAAGATATATACATGATATATACATGAGTGCAGGTGGTGATCAGTGCCAAACATAGAATGGGGTGGTGAACACAGCGTAGGGTCATGTGTTAGTGGCGGGGACAGTCATGTGGTTATTGTTCATGTGTCCAACAGCAGAGGGGAAGAAACTGTTCTTGTGGCGAGAGGTTCTGGTGCGAATGGACCGGAGCCTCCTGCCTGAGGGGAGCAGGTCAAACAGACTGTGTCCAGGGTGAGAAGGGTCAGCTGAGATCCGGGCTGCACGCCGCAGTGTCCTGGAGGTGTACAGGTCCTGCAGAGATGGGAGTCTGCAGCCAATCACCTTCTCAGCAGAGCGCACAACACGCTGCAGTCTCTGTTTGTCCCTGATAGTGGCTCCAGCGTACCACACGGTGATGGAGGAGGTGAGGATGGACTCGATGATTGCAGTGTAGAATTGCATCATCGTCCGTGTTGGCAGGTTGAATTTCTTCAGCTGCCTCAGGAAGTACATCCTCTGCTGGGCTTTCTTGATGACGGAGGTGATGGTGGGCTCCCACTTCAGGTCCTGGGTGATGGTGGTACCCAGGAAGCGGAATGAGTCCACAGAGGTGATGGGGGTGTCAGTCAGGATGATGGGGGGGAGTGGGGCTGTGTGCTTCCTGAAGTCCACAATAATCTCCACTGTCTTCTGGGCATTCAGCACCAGGTTGTTGTGGCTGCACCAGGACACCAGACGTTCAACCTCCCTCCTGTAGGCAGACTCATCCCCGTCAGAGATGAGCCCAATGACGGTGGTGTCATCTGCGAACTTGATTAGCTTGACAGACTGGTGGGTGGAGGTGCAGCAGTTGGTGTACAGGGAGAAGAGCAGAGGAGAAAGAACACAGCCCTGAGGGGAGCCGGTGCTGATGGTCCGGGAGTCCGAGACATTCTTTCCCAGCCTCACGTGCTGCTTCCTGTCCGTCAGGAAGTCAGTGATCCACCGGCAGATGGGATCAGGCACATTCATCTGGGAAAGCTTGCCTCGGAGATGGTCTGGAAGGATGGTGTTGAAGGCAGAGCTGAAGTCCACAAACAGGATCCTGGCGTAGGTTCCTGGGGAGTCCAGATGCTGCAGGATGAAGTCCAGATGCTGCAGGATGATGTCTCCCATCATGCCTTGGGACATGTGTTGCTGTTTAGATGTTCTTGTTCTATTGTTTATGGTTACGTTACTTTTAACTGTTATCTTGAATGTTGTGTTTACGCCTGTCATGAGTCGCTGTGTGGCAGGCAGGAGTTGGACGCAAAATGCAGGCACTCAGGCATGAGGTTTAAACACAAACAAACTCAGCTTTATTTGCTGGCAGGGGAAAGTCATAATAAAGGCAAACTAAACTAAACTAAACTGGAAACTCATAAACAAAACTCAGTGAGACACAGGGAGATCCACACAGCATGAGGGACGACGCGACACGGACACAGAGAAACACAAGGCTTAAATACACAGAGGGAGCAATCAGGGAATGAGTAACAGGGGGGAAACACAGCTGGGCAAATCAGGCCTAACGAGACAAAGGAAACACAACCAGACGCATTTACATGAGACACGGACTTTCAAAGTAAAACAGGAAACATAACACAGACTGAACTTAGACACACAGACAGGCACTACAGAGGGAACAGAGACGTGGGACCAGGGCAGACACGAAACAAATGAACACAACGAGCCAGAAACCAAAACACAGGGAACAAAGTCCAAAACAACAGCACTGAGGCCAGGAACAGTCCAAAAGCAAACAAACAAAAGAGCCACAAAAGGCGCAGAGGCCAGGCAACAGTCTCGAAAAGTTCAGGGGGCCGGCCCGGAGGCTGACGGCACAACAGTCCAAACCCGGGCAGTTCAGGGGGCGGCCCGGAGGCTGACGGCCCAAGAGCCCAGAAAACAATTCAGGAGGCCGGGGAGGCGGGAAGCACCGGCGGCGACGGAACAGATCAGGAGGGTGGCCGGGCAGGAGGCACCGGCGGCGACGTAGTTCAGGGGGCCATCCATGATGGCGGCGTAGTTCAGGGAGCTGTCCATGATGGCAACGACGTCCAGTCATCGGCCGAACAGGACATGCAGGACGAGCAGGCCGGACAGGACGTGCTGGCCGGACCGGACATGCAGGACGAACAGGACCAGACGGCATGGGGACCTCAGGCGCAGACGAAGCTAGACGGAGCAAGGGAGGACCAGGCGACACCGAAGGCGAAGACACGGAGGCAGGACCAGGCGACGCCGAAGGCGAAGACACGGAGGCTGGACCAGGCGGAGCTGAAGACACGGAGGCTGGACCAGGCGAAGGTGGTGGCGCTGCAGGCGACGGCGTGGGAGCCGCAAGTGGTTGCTGGACGGGCCCTCGGACCCTCCAGCGGAGGCAGGAGGCAGGACGGGCCCCTCGGACCCTCCAGCGGGAACAGACGGCTGAAGCGGTCCCTCGGACCCTCCAGCGGGAACAGACGGCTGAAGCGGTTCCTCGGACCCTCAAGCGGAAGCAGGTTGCTGGACGGGCCCTCGGACCCTCCAGCGGGAACAAACGGCTGAGCAGCCAGTGACCCTGTGGATGCAAAAATATAGCCCCAGAATAAATAGTCCCATGGCCCGAAGAAGAGAAAAAGTGTCCTTTTCGCTCACCACAGCCGGCTGTTTTGACATCCGGCTGTGGGGTGACACGTCCGGCTGTGGGGTGACACGCCGGTGGCGTGGCCGCCGCTTCCTCTCGGTGATGGCTCCAATGGGCCGGGCAACTCCAAGTCCGGCGGGCTGGGCAGCACATCTTTCTCCGAGTTGGGTAGGTGAGCGGTAGCAACAGGGGATGCAGAAGAAGCTCATTAAGGAAAAACTCCTGTATGAGTGGGTGAAGTGAGTCAAAAGCCAGGGGAGACCAGAAACCAGTCGCTGTAGCCGGTTCGCTACAGCACGCTGAATTCCTCCCAGGATGATTCAGCCACAGGTCACATAATTTATCCACTGAATAAATTATATCCTCCCTGAGCTCTTCAGACGGGGCAAGTGCTGCTGGGTCCATGTACTGGTCGCGTCATTCTGTCATGAGTCGCTGTGTGGCAGGCAGGAGTTGGACGCAAAATGAAGGCACTCAGGCATCAGGTTTAAATACAAACAAACTCAGCTTTATTTGCTGGCAGGGGAAAGTAATAAAAAAGGCAAACTGATTTGCCATTCCCATTGATCTTGTACAATTCTAGGCATTCCAGTATCCAGCTGTGGGGCATTGAGTCATAGGCCTTCTTGTAATCAATCCAGGCAGTGCACAGGTTGGTCAGGCTGGTCTTGCAGTCTCGGCTGACTGTTCTGTCTACCAGTAGCTGGTGTTTTGCACCTCTGGTATTCTTGCCAATTCCTTTCTGTGTCCCGCTCATGTATTGACCCATGTGCCTGTTCATCTTAGCCGATATGATGCCTGACAGGAGCTTCCATGTAGTACTGAGGCAGGTTATTGGTCGGCAGTTGGAGGGACCGGTCCCTTCTTGGGGTCCTTGGGGATCAGGACCGTCCGACCTTCGGTTAGCCATTCCGGGTGTCTCTCGTTAATTAGCAGCTGGTTCATTTGTGCTGCCAGACGCTCGTGGAGTGCAGTCAGCTTCTTTAGCCAGTAGGTGTGAACCATGTCGGGCCTGGTGCTGTCCAACTCTTCATACTGGAGACCCTTTCTTGGATATCTGCCACTGTGATGGTTACTGGACCCTGTTCAGGGAGGTCGCTGTGGTCTGCCCTCAGATCCACTAGCCACTGAGCATTGCCGTTATGGGTTGCGTCCTTCTCCCATATGCTCTTCCAGTATTGCTCCTTCTCCAGCCTTGGTGGTGCTGTTCTCTTATTATTGTTCCCTTGCCACTGAGAGTACATATATATCTACATATATATCTACATATATCTACATATATATATATATATATATATATACATATATATATATATATATATATATATATATATATATATATATATATATATATATATATATATATATATATATATATCTACATATATATAAAAAAAAAAAAACACCAGCACGCCCCTGCGGCGGTTTATCCTTCTGGTAGAGGACCCGAGCTTGGGTCCTCTACCAGAGGCCTGGGAGCTTGAGGGTCCTGCAGTATCTTAGCTGTTCCCAGGACTGCGCTCTTCTGGACAGAGATCTCCGATGTTATTCCCGGGATCTGCTGGAGCCACTCGCCTAGCTTGGGAGTCACCGCACCTAGTGCTCCGATTACCACGGGACCACCGTTACCTTCACCCTCCACATCCTCTCGAGCTCTTCTCTGAGCCCTTGGTATTTCTCCAGCTTCTCGTGTTCCTTCTTCCTGATATTGCTGTCATTCGGAACCGCTACATCGATCACTACGGCCGTCTTCTTCTGTTTGTCTACCACCACTATGTCCGGTTGGTTAGCCACCACCATTTTGTCCGTCTGTATCTGGAAGTCCCACAGGATCTTAGCTTGGTCATTCTCCACACCCTTGGGGGCATCTCCCATTTTGACCTCGGGACTTCCAGGTTATACTCGGCACAGATGTTCCTGTACACTATGCCGGCCACTTGGTTATGGCGTTCCATGTATGCCTTGCCTGCTAGCATCTTGCACCCTGCTGTTATGTGCTGGATTGTCTCTGGGGCATCTTTACACAGCCTGCACCTGGGGTCTTGCCTGGTGTGATAGACCCCAGCCTCTATGGATCTTGTACTCAGAGCTTGTTCTTGTGCTGCCATGATTAGTGCCTCTGTGATGTCTTTCAGTCCAGCTTTGTCCAGCCACTGGTAGGATTTCTGGATATCAGCCACCTCCTCTATCTGCCGGTTTACATACCGTGCAGGGCCTGTCCTTCCATGATGGTTCCTCGTCTCCCTCTCTTTCTTGGGTTTCTGCTGCCTGAGGTATTCACTGAGCACTCGGTCAGTTGGGGCCATCTTCCCCAATGTATTCTTGGATGTCACGAGAAGCTGGAGAAATACTAAGGGCTCAGAGAAGAGCTCGAGAGGATGTGAGGTGAAGTACGGTGGTCCCCGTGGTAATCGGAGCACTAGGTGCGGTGACTCCCAAGCTAGGCGAGTGGCTCCAGCAGATCCCGGGAATACATCGGAGATCTCTGTCCAGAAGAGCGCAGTCTGGGAACAGCTAAGATACTGCGCAGGACCCTCAAGCTCCCAGGCCTCTGGTAGAGGACCCGAGCTTGAAGGATAAACCGCCCGCAGGGGCGTGCTGGGTGTTATATATACACATATATATATATATATATACACACATATATACACATATACACATATATACACATGTACACACATATATATATACACACATATACATATATCACTGACTTTCAGCTTGTGTTTGTGGATGTATGACTGACTTTAATTATTAAACATTCCCACATAAATAAGTGACGTCATATTCAGTACTTTTGACAGTTCACTCTTCGGCCGCTCCATCGCTTCCAGGGAAATTCCATATACATAAATGTAAATTTCAAAACTCAACCCCATCATTTAATTTGTTTTTGATTGAATTGAATATTACTTAAACTCTCTTAAATTAACTTCCAATAAAAAAGGTTTATCATTGATTGAAATTCATTCAGAAATGTTTAATGAATGAGCTGTCACAACTTTCAAGTACAAAGTTGTTATGAAGTCTGTCACTTACCC